CAGCTGCCGCTTAGAAGAGCTGGCAGGGGTCAGAGTTATCTTCGTGTTTGATTTAGAATCTGGAGAAGGAGACGCCATGTCTGATGGTAGGAGAGGATCTGTTTTGATCTTGGAAAGGAAAAGAGAAGTTAATAACTGAGAAGGGAGAGTCATCATGGAAGGTGGAAAAAGATGGAAAATTTAGGGGGGAAGAAGGGTTGAGATAGAATTATCAAAGGCTGGCTAAGAAAAAAGAAGGAAAAATCTCTCTCTTTTTTTATTGTTAAAAGCATACACAGGAAAACACACACCAATTCAACAATTTCTATATGTACAGTTTGGCGACATTGATTACAGTCTCCAAGTTGTGCAACCATTCTTGCCCTCCTTTTCCAAATTGTTCCTCCTCCAGTCACATGAACTTACTGCCTCCTAAGTGATTTGATCCCATATAGATAGTTCTTCAAAAGAGAATGATGTTCAAGGCAAACATTCTTTACTAAATAAGGTTACTTATTGTTTGGTTTAAAGAAAACATCAGGAGTTATTTTTGGCTTAAGATTTAAAGTTTAAAGATGATCTCAGGACAACAGTTTCAGAGGTTCATCCAGCCTCAATGGCTCCAGAAGATCTGGATAGGGAAAATCTCTCCGTGGAAATCCCTAACACAGGGAAGGGGAGCATAAGAAGGAGCACCAAGGAGGTGACAAGAAAGCCGAGCAACGGGTAAGGAAGCAGCAGGGAACACAAAGGAATACACACGAGCCTTCGTATTGAAGTCTGTCTGACTTGTAGAAGTTTAGATAAATATATGCTCTAGATCAAGAGTCAGCAAACTACAGCCCGTGGGCCAGATCTGGCCCATTGCCTGTTTTTGTACTACCCTTGAGCTAAGAATGTATCTCACACCATTTTACAATAGTTGAAAAAAATTGAAAGAAAAATAATATTTTCTGACATATGGAAATTACAAGAAATTCAAATTCTAGTGTCCGTCAATAAAGTTTTGTTGGAACATAGCCACGCTTATTTATTTATGTGTTGTCTTTGGTCGATCTCTTGCTACAATGGCAGAAGAGAGTAGTTGCAACCGAGACCATAATGTCTACAACATGGAAAATATTTATTATCTGCCCATGTACAGAAAAATGTTTGCCAATCTCTGCCTTAGCTCTGATACTTCACGATAGCCAGAGTAGGTAAGATATATGGACTTTGTTTTGAGTTTAGTCCGTTTTGGAAATCTGTCTCTGTTTTCTGGACATTCCCAGAAATGCCTCCCTTCTCCTTTCAGCTTACCATTTTATTCCACATTTTTTTAGTGCCCGCAATATCCATGTTGTTGTTAGTTGCCAACGAGTCATCCCCCAAGTCATGGTGACCCCACGCACAGTGGAACTAAACACTACCCGGTCCTGCGCCATCCTCATGATTGGTAGTGGATGAGACCGTTGAGATGCATGAAGTTTTCATTGGCTGATTTTTGGAAGTAGATCACCAGGCCTTTCTTCCTAGTCTGTCTTAGTCTGAAATCTTCTCTGAAACTTGTTCAGCATCATAGCAACATGCAATCCCCCACCAGCAGAGTGTTGGTGGCTGCGCATGAGGTGCACTGGCTGGGAATCGAACTCGGGTCTCCCCCATGGAAGGTGAAAATTCTACCACTGAACCGCCAATGCTGGCAATATACCATGTGTTTAATACCACACACTAGACCTCTTGAAAGTGAGCCTCGTGAGCCGTGTGCACCACCCGCTGGGGAGTGGGGAGGCACAGAGTATGGTGCCTGCCTTCTGGTGGAGAAAACGGATCCAAGAAGAAAGGATCGCAGTCTAGTAATAGTAGGTGCTTCCCATTTGGGAAGACGGAACCTGTGTTTGGAGCAAGGGGCTTTGTTTAGTGGTTGTTGCTACTTATGTATGTCTTTTGTTATTTCATAAAATATTTGAGGTGGGTTTAGAATGAGGATGCATTCCATACATTCTCAATAATATACATATTCTAATCATATATGACAATGATGTATAAATGTAAGATCAGAGAAGATATGAGTAACAGTAGTTAGGACTGGAGGTGGTGGGGACAGGAAGGCAAGAACACAGATATGCAGGCAGTAAAAGCCAACAAAATGGACAGAATGGAAACTCATAATTGGCTCTGAACTTCCTGGCACAAAGAGAGGAGAGAATATCCATTACTTGGGGGCAGAAAAAAATTTTGTTTCAGGGAGAAGAGGAAGAAAGAAGGGAAGGAAAGAGGGAGGGAGGAAGGGAAGGAGGGAGGAAGCAAAGAAAAGTGTTATCATCTGCAAAGGGTATAGCTACGTATCTGTATGTCCTTTATGTAATGCATTTCCCATTTCTCTCCAACTGAAATCATCCGGTTCTTTAGTAGAAACGGTATCTATGGTAATAAATGTAACAATACACTGTATTTCTATAACTCTACAGTTTCAAAACACTCCTACAGGTTTGTTCGCTGGCCCACTCCTAGTGAAGAAAGAGTAAGTGGATGTTACCTCTGTTTTATGTTGAGAAAAAATAACACCCTAAATGTGTAAATTTCTGGCTCAATTGCCTGAATTAAGTCCCCTGCCTTCTGGCACAATGTTCTTGCCACTTTTTAACACTAAAACTGAAAAAAACCAAACCCATTGCCGTTGAGTCAATTCTGATTCATAGCGACCCCATAGGACAGAGTAGAACTGCCCCATAGGTTTTCCAAGGAGCGGCTGGTGGATTCGAACTGCCGACATTTCGGTTAGCAGCAGAGCTCTTAACCACTGTGCCACCAGGGCTCCCTTGATAACAGTGAAGAGACATAATTCAGCCTGACCTGATCCTTACCAGACTGACTCCCGGCACTCCCCACCAGGATTACTAAAGGGAAGCAGGGACTAGGAAAACACCTCCGTCACAGGGGGATGCTTCCGCACTCGTGGCTAACTCCTCAGAAACACAGTGTTGAGAGTCACAGTCAAAAGCTAAAGTTAGAAACGGTATCGGCCATTGAGTAAGAAGGGTCAGCTTGCAGCTGTTACGAGAGCTTTCTGAATTGTACAATGTGGCCACTTTGATGCGTGAGAATCAATTACAGACAGACCTCGTCAAGATGGCCAAACGGCAGCCTTAAGTAATTGAATTCTCTGCCAAATGGTGTCCGCTGTCATTATCTAGAAATGTAATTATGCAGCTAAATCAAGCAACTAAAATTAGTGTAGTGTAAAAACACCTTGGCTATCTAAAAGTGGAGGAATTGACATTTGGATTTAGAAAAAGCCGATAGTTGACCGTGTTCCGCGGAGTTGGAGGTGCTCCCCATTTTGACAAAATGTATAGCATGTGTCCTATTTACTATGAGGGGAGGGGTGTGGTGAGCAGATGTTTGGTTTGAAGGTGATTTTCAGTTACTCCTGGCCTTGAGCATTCTTTAAGTAGACTCCTTTCAACACATTTTCACACCATTGCTCTCGAAATTGTGGAACTCTAAACACGCCTCCGTGCTTTGCTCTTAGGAAGATTAGGAGAGTGACAATTTGAATGTTATCTGTGCCTTCCATCGGAAGCCAATAATGTCTCTGTCTATGCCAACCCATCAGGAGAACAGGAACACGTGACAAGAATGATTATGTGCTCCCTGCCTTGTACGTAATGATATGATGCCAAGGACGGTGTCCAGAGACCAACGAAGACTTTATTTCATTATCACAGCACCCTGCGAGGGAGGGACTATTATCTCAGTTTTTCTAGTGAGGAGACTGGGGGTCAGAGAGGCTAAGCCATTTGTTCAAAGTCACACAGCTAGTAAGTGGGACACCCAGGTCAGTATAATTCCAATTCATTGATCCCATAGGAATTTATCTATTATAAGGTAACATATCCCAAATAATCACTGGAGTATTTTCAAGCACCAGAAATATTTCACGTATGGGCTTGAGTGTATTTCTCATCCGTGATTTTAGGGTACATTGACAGCTGCCATGGAGTCAATTCTGACTCATGGCGACCCCAGGTGTGTCAGAGTAGAACTGTGCTCTGTACTGTTTTCAATGGCTGAGTTTTTGGAAGTAGATCACCAGGACTTTCTTCCAAGGCACCTCTGGTTGAACCAGAACTGCCAACCTTTTGGTTAGCAGCTGAGTGATGATGACACCTTAATTTCCTATAATATGTTAACACTTTACACCACCCAGGGATTCCCTGGTCCACATTAGATATGCCATTGAACTCCAGGAACAGGGAGCTACCTCTTCATTGGAAATACATTAACATGTTATATATCACTATATCACAATTTAAAGCCCAAAGATAAAGAATATTTTTTAAAAGTGCAAAGAAAGGTATATGAAATTCTATTACGGAATGAAATGCAGTAATAAATGATAGTGCCAAAGTTAGAAATTGGGCTCTGGAATGTGTTTGTAGCCCAGGTCTGCCTGTTACAAGCTGTATAGCCATAAGAAAACTGCTCAGCTAATGTGACCCCCATTTCCCATTGGCCGCAGGAGAATAATAGTGCTGACTTCATATCGTTATCATGAGAATGACATTACATAACTCGTGTAAATAATTTAACTCAGTCTCAGTGCATAGCATGCACTATGGAAGTATTAGCTGATAGTATTATGTGTGTGTGTGTGTGTGTGTGTGTGTGTGTGTGTGTGTGCGCGCATGCAAATTGCCCCCTTTAAAATGGAAATGAGAGAAAGAGTATAACAAACTTGACTGAGTATCTTAATTTTTTGAGGTCAGTACCCATTCTGCCCACATTAACATACTCAGTTTGAGTTTTCAGTAGAAGCTGATAATTGTATCAGTTTACATTTCTGTTTTCTCTCTAAGAATCCCACGTAGACCCCATTCCCTGTCTTTGGCCCAATTCCTTTGGGAGACCCTGGCTGTCATAGCCCAACACCTTCTGTCACCCTGTCTGTCTCCTGATCTCTCTCTCCCTCTCGCCGAGAACTAAACTAATGAAGAGTATTTGGTAAGTCATGTTAGGCAAGCTGTTCCCAAAATAGCACCTTCCAATTTGGTAGCTTCAACTTTGCAGCTGCCGTGTCTCTTCGGCGTCTGGGAAGAAAACTTTCACATCAAGAGTTGCTGATGTGGATTTTCTTTCTTTCTCCTGTCTGCGTTGATGACGGCTTGGCTCCCGACAGAAGCCACTTGGCTCTCAGCTTTGTAGTTCGGAAGAAGTTGGGCCTATAGATTTTCCCCTAACTCTCAATTGATGTGTTGAGCTTCAGAGGGAATAATACCTTCGCTTAAAGCATGTTGTCGTCTCAAGGAGTCCTCCTGCATCCCTATGGCGTGCCCATGATCGTCCCAGCAGCCCCCTACTTCCCTGGACTGATTCAGGTAATTCAAGGCCTCAGCCAACGAGCAACTTAACTCCAGAGCGCTCAGAGTAATAATTGGAATTTTTATGGTTGAGAAAGCAAACACTTTTAATACAGGAAAAAGCCCTCGCGTAGTCAGTGGGAAGACAGTAGGAAATCAAAAAGATGGATCACCCTAATCTGGCTATTGACATCTCTCATGGCTGACTAAATGGTGTAGTTGAGCTATATTTGCTTGTATTGATCTGCGTGCTCTTTAACATTCATGCCTTTGCTTCAGGAGGTTGACCACGGGGCAAAGGATTTGCACTTCTTCCCCACTTTCTGAGGGGCTCAGTCTCCCAGAGCAGATCCTGAGGCAAAGTAACTTATCATGAGGTGACTTGGTTAAGAGCTTTAACCCAGGAAATAGGGGGAACATGAGCTATGCATTAATTCCTGTGTTCTCCTTCACGTGGATTTTCAGTTTTTTGTGGAAGGTGTGTTTTTTGTTTGTTTGTTTTCCCTCTGACTTGAGTGGTGGCACCGAGGCAAGAAGGGAACAGTCTACCGATGGTTAATGTATGATGTCTGGAGATGATCTAGAAATCGTGTGCCAGCTGTTTATGTCTTAATGATGGCAAGAGAGTGGAAGATGGAGCCATGTGTTGGTTTTACTTCTAAGGCTATTAATTCTGTACAGAGAGGATCATCTGCTAGTAAGAAATTTGGCACTTCCCCCCTACGAGTTTGTCTTTTTAAGCAAGCATTGGCTTCTGTATAGATGTCTAAAGATCTCTCTGGAAAGCTAATACCTAATAGTCATAGAGAGCAGACATCAGAGGAAACCAAGGGTTTTTTTGTTTTGTTTTGTTTTTAATTATTATTGCTTATTTGTTGTTTGTTTTTTGAGGATATACTTCCCTTGGTAATAAATCCTGATCTCTTTTCTGTAGGAAAGGAAAACTAAATGTATTTAGGATGTCCTTCACTGCCCACCTCCTCATATTAAAAAAAAAACTTCTGCAACACCCTCGCTCATAATTAAAATTTCAGGAGAGAATTCTGGTCAAGCACCCTTGTTCTCCCTTTCTGAATGTTGGTTTTACCTCCTGTTAACTATAAAAATTTTGGTGATGATAGGCATTGAGGGGTGATTCCACATAATAACAAAGCATTCTATCAGCCTGGATTGATGACCTTTGCTCTGTTTGGAGGCGTTTATATTACATGTTACAAATAAATGAGCCTCCTTGAGAATGGCCCTTAACAACAGGGAAATTGTCCCATCGTTGCTCCCCTAAGGGGGCCAGTGTGGCGTGGTTGTCACCGTTGGAGTGGGACTCGATGGGAAAGTGGAAGGTGGCAGACCTTTTGCTTCTTTTGGAAACTGGGGGTGGAGGTTGGCCATTGGAGTTTTGTCAGACCCTCTGCCACCCCATCCGATAAATAATTACAGGCAAATCGTGGCCTTCACTCTATGCTGATTGATGCTGAAATTGCTTTTGAAAGTTCTCATAAGTTCCTGTTATAGATTAAGTGCCGGTGTAGGAAAAATCACGGCACCAACTGAAATGGGTGAATATAATCAGGTTTAATGGACTCAAGAGCTTGTTGGGAATTAAATAACTATCGATTTGCTGGAATGTTGCTGTCATTACGAAATGCCACTCTGGACGCATTACCCCAGTGATAGATGAGAAGACGCGAGGGCCAGCTGAAAAATTTGGGAGACTATTTCTTCCTCCTTTGCAGAGTGTTTGAGAAACATATTCAGCTATGTTTGGAAGGAACAAGTGATTTTACTTGCAAACCTTAATCTGATTATACTTTCTTTTCGCAAGTGACACCTCTGGTAACTAGTTATCCGTAGTCTAGAAAGCAGAGTAGTAGGGCGCCTCTAGAACAGCTGCTGGGATATCCTTTAACTTCTTCCTCCCCTACTCCAGTGGAACGTGCTAAAATGTCGTGGACAGAAAGAGACTGGCTTTTATTTCTGGTTTGCTGAGACAACCCATGTTAGTTACCCATTGGCATTAAGAAACTCAAATCATCTACTGCAATAATATTTAGGAGGGGAGAGAGAGCTAGGAGAAGAGAGAAACATTGTAAGACACACACACCTTTCAGCTGATGCTCCTGATGCTAATACTGTTCTGCATCCCAGCAGACTACATCCACTTGCTTGCCAACCTTGACTTTGCTGGTTTCTTCCCATCCCTCAAGACACCATGTCTTTTTTATAAGGAATTAAGGTATCATCGTCATCTTAGTTAATGCCGTCATTGTGACATTCAAGTGGCCCAACATCGTGAATGTGGATTCCATCATATGTAGTAAGTTTTCTGTGACTAGAGATGGTCCAACAGAGCTGCTGGGCAGGATTGTTGTATGAGAGTTCTAGATTACTTCTAAAGGTCTTTCCAATCTCAGGAGCCAATCTCAAGAGTTACGGCAGGTTGACTTCCTTTATGTAATTCTTTCAAGCGCCACTTTTTTAAAATCCAGACTGAACTTGCCCTGTTTTTGCCTACTCAGTTAAAGAAAAAAATAAATAATTTACCAAATATTCTAAGAGGGAGCTCACTAACCCTGCCAAAACAATGAGTAGAAGTATTTCCTAATAGTTCTGAGGGAAATTACCCATACAGGGTCTTCTGTTCCAGGAGTAAATTCAACAGTTACCACTGACTCCACCTTCCCCTACTCAGAAACCCAGTATCTTTACAACATTGGATCCTCTGAACCCATTATCAAGAAGCCCTGGTGGCGCAGTGGTTACAGTGTTTGGCTGCTAACCAAAAGGTTGGTGGTTCAAACCTGTCAGCCACTCTGAGGGAGAAAGATGTGGCAGTCTTCTTCTGGAAGGATTTATAGTCTTGGAAACCCTATGGGACAGCTCCACTCTGTCACATGGGGCTGCTATGAGTGGGAATTGACTCGACAGCAGTGGGTTTGAATGCATTATCTGATATCTTATTGTCGTTGTTGTTGTTAATTTCCGTTGAGTTGATTTAAATTCGGGGCAACACCACGTGTGCGGAGTAGAACTGCTCCATCGAGTTTTCCAGGCTGTGACCTTTCAGAAGCAGATCTCCATGCCTGTCTTCTGAGGGGCCTCACAGGGGATTTGAACTGCCATCTTTTTGGTTAGTGGTAGGATGCCTAATTGTTTGCACCCCCCAAGGACTTCTATCTGATGTCTAAACATGATGAATATATAGTCAAGTGGCTAGTTATTCCTCTGGCCATGTAGAGAATTCCAGAAGGACTGAGGAGGATTGAGCTGAATCAGTTTGGACTGTTCCATGGGTTAAAAGATACAGAAGAGAAGAGGAAAGAACAATGCTACCAAGCTTGTTGTAGAAACATTGCTCTTTTTCCATTGGAATAGACCCTAATGTTATTATATTTAGATAAGAAAGACCCATGCATATTCCTATGGAACCTGTTTAATTCTTTCAAATTTTCAGTGATATTTAGATGACTTGATTGATTTTGGTCACTTGAATGATTTATGAGTTGTCTGACAGGGGAACAAATGAGGTCAAGTCAATTGCCAAGGTCAGCCTTAAGTTCAGAAGCTGCCAAGAGGACTTACTCATGCTATGGACTATGGCTACACTATGCCAAATGGTAGAGTCAACAGTGGCTTTGTAAATGATTAGTCTGTTTGGTTAGCTTTTGGGTCTGATGAACCCTTGGTTCTGGGTTGCAGGTTTGGACAAACACCCTTCTCCCTAGAAAGCTGCCTCATACGTATGCCCCATTGAACACACATAGCTGGATTCTTTCTCCTGGGATGAATAGCTCCCGTCTCATCAGATCTTACAAATGATGGGTTAGAGACTGTTTTCCTGGATGGAGGATGGTATAACAGAACCTCGTGTACCTCACCATGCACTTATTCATTTTGTTATCCGTTCCCTGCACTTGTGCTCTACATCAGACACTGTACTAGGCACACAGAAAACAATCGTGACAAAGATACAGCCACCTAGCTGTTTGCTCATTGTCTAGTGGAAGATAACAGTAGATAAGCACGAAAAATAAGCACAAAACTATAATACCACAAGAAAGACAGCAGGAAAGAATAATAGGTCACAATTGTTGAGTACTTGTAATGTTCCAGGCACTGTGCTAAACATTTAGAGGTATTATATCAATTATTCTTGCAACAATCCCAATGAAGTTGGGTAATGTTGGCCCGCCATCCCTTATGTGGAATTCGAAGTTCCAAAAAGCTCTGGAAATCAACTAAATCACTTTTAGGGGGAAGTTTGGCACCAAAGCTCAATTGGGAACAAAACTTGACCTGAAATGCTGTGAGGCTATTTATAGACCTTATTTATCCTGTTTGGTGTGAATATTCATACATTTTGCTGAGGGAATAATTGTGTATTTGATGTCAGGGTGTTTTCCCAGACCCTGCTAAGGGTGTTATATAATCACTGTTTCCCCTTAAATAACTTTCTGAAAAAGAAAATCCCCCCAAAATCTGAATTTCAAAATATAGCTGGCCCCAAGTGTCTCAGGTAAAGAATCCAAGTCCTGCATTATGACTCCTTTTTTGCATATGAAGAAACCAAAACTGAAACACAGAGAAGGGGAACTGGCCCAAGGTCCCAAAGAATGCCAGTGACAGAGCTGAGATTTGGACCCAGGTTTGTTGGGCCAGAGCCTTCCCTCTTAACCCCCCACGGTACCAACAAGGCGCATAGAGAGGGAGCAATGGAAACATAGGAAGGAGAGAATCAGACACCTCTTAGAGTTTAGAAAGAGGTAGCATTGGAGTTGGGCTATAAAGCATCAGTCAGTCGGTGTACACTAGGAGCCCAGGTGGCACAGTGGTTAAAGCACTTGGCTGCTAACCGAAAGGTCAGCAGTGTGAACCTACCAGCTGCTCCGTGGGAGAAAGATGTGGCAGTCAGCTTCCATGAAGATTACAGCCTTGGAAACCCTATGCGGCACCTAACCTCTGTCCTATAGGGTCACTGTGAGTCGTGATCGACCCATTGGCAGTGAGTTTTTGAGAGGTAT